CTAAAGGGTTTTTTTGTTGCTCAGCAGGTAACATGGAAAAATGAAAACACCACAAGATGGCAATCACAGTCCTCCACAAACGCCGCACAAGCCTAAATCAATTTTAAAAGAAATACTATGATATTAAGATGAGGCAACATCTGCTAATACTTTCGTGAGAAAAAAGTGAAAAAAAAAAAAAACAGCTGACAAGTAGATTTGAGATCAAGACAAAACAGGAAAAGGAAAGAGTCCAGAAAATACAAGCAGCATAAAAGCAAAAGTTTTAGAAAGTACAGCAAAGTTGTAGCAAAGCAGCAGGAAGAAAAATCACAAGGGGCAAAACAGAGACATGAGGAGACCGACAGGGAGGTGCAGAACTATGATTGGCTAACAAGTCACAGGCGAGTTTACAGGAAGCAGAACCAACTGAGACACACGAGCACGTAGCAAACAAAATAAACAGTAAATAAGAACAACGAGCGACACAAAGCTCATACAGACAACAGGGAGGGAAACACAGGAGATATGGTTTAAAAACAAACGTGTTTCATGATGAATCCTCACATATCAATAAAAGACGCAGCAATAACTGTGACTGACTACGACAATCGTCACAAAATCATGATAACGTTTATCTCACTTAATTGGTCGCTTTAGGCTTCAAAGATAAAGCATCTAAGGGTAAGGCAGCCAGGAAGGCCGCCATTAACGATGCTTCTGCAGGTTAGATCTTGTTGCTCAATAACTTTTTCTCAATGATTCAGACTCGAGCCGAATCAAACATGCCAGAGCCTGGGGAAGAAAGTTTGGGCTTTTAACTGCAACGCTTTCTCAGTGTGTACGCAGCAAAACAGCACTCTCTTCCATCTGCCATCTACAGGGGAGCATATCTGCAGGGGAGCATACATTATTATATCTGGAGACTTTAACCATGCCACACTGGATTCTACTCTGGCTGCTTTTCACCAGTTTGTGAATTGTCCCACAAGGAGCAACAGGACAATTGACCTACTGTATGCTAATGTGAGAGATGCATACAGAGCCACCCCCCTCCCCCCACTAGGGAAGTCAGACCACAACCTGGTTTACCTACAGCCACAATACACACCCCTCGTCCAAAGGCAGCCTGTCACAACGCGCTCCATCCGGAGATGGACCCCAGAAAAGGAGGATGCTCTGAGAGACTGCTATGACACCACAGACTGGGATGTGCTCCTGAGCCCACATGGTGAGGACATAGAGGGGGCGACACACTGTCTTACAGACTACCTCAACTTTTGTGTGGACACAGTCGCCCCTGCTAAGACGGTACGGTGTTATCCTAATAACAAACCGTGGGTAACACAGGAAGTCAAAGCTGTCCTCAACATGAAGAAGAAGGCTTTCAGGAGCAAAGTGAAGGAGGAGATGAAAGCAGCACAGCGGGAGGTGAAACGCTGCCTGAGGGAAGCAAAGGACACCTACAGGAGGAAGGTGGAGCAGAAGTTGGAGAGGAACAATATGAGGGAGGTCTGGAATGGTGTGAAAACCATCACAGGCCACAACACCAAGAAAAGCACAGTGGGGGGGACTGTGGAGAAGGCAAACGAACTCAACAACTTCTTCAACAGGTTTGACCAGCCCACAACCCCCCACCCTCACCCTCACCTTCACTACAGAGTCCTCCCCCCACTCTCCTGCCTCCCTCGCTTCCCCCCCTTCCTGACACCATGACACCCCCCTCCTCCAATCCCTCTCTCAGCAGCAAGACATCTCCCCCCCTCCCCTCCTCCCAAACATCTCCCAGTGTCACAGTGGATCAGGTCAGGAGGCAACTGAGGAAGCTTCGCCCCAGAAAGGCAGCAGGCCCAGACAAGGTGTGTCCTAGGATGCTAAAGGCGTGTGCTGCTGAACTTGGGGAGCCGCTACAACGAGTCTTCAACCTCAGTCTGCGACTGGGGAGAGTGCCCGCCCTATGGAAGACATCCTGCATCGTCCCGGTCCCCAAAAAGAACCGGCCCAATGAGCTGAATGACTTCCGACCGGTGGCACTGACGTCACATCTTATGAAGACTCTAGAGCGGCTCTTCCTCAACTTCCTCCGACCACAGGTACAACATGCCCAGGACCCACTACAGTTTGCATACAAGGCGGGTGTCGGAGTGGAGGATGCCATCCTGTACCTCCTACACAGAGCCCACTCACACCTGGATGGGGGAAAAGGCACGGTCAGGATCCTGTTTCTTGACTTTTCCAGTGCCTTTAATACCATCCGGCCCTGTATGCTTCAGGAAAAACTGAACAGGATGGAGGTGGACCCCTGCCTGGTGGCCTGGATCTCCGACTACCTCACCGACAGACCACAGTACGTCAGGCTGAAGGACATCACGTCTGACACTGTGGTCAGCAGCACAGGAGCACCACAGGGAACTGTGCTGTCCCCTCTTCTCTTCACCCTGTACACCTCTGACTTCTGCTACAACTCTGAATTATGCCACATTCAGAAGTTTGCAGATGACACGGCCATCATGGGGTGTATCTGGGATGATCAGGAAGAGGAGTACAGAAGTCTGGTGAGGAACTTTGTCGCATGGAGTCACACAAACCACCTACAACTCAACACCTCAAAGACTAAGGAACTGGTTGTGGACTTCGGGAGGTCCAAAGAAGGTCCACTGCCGGTTCAGATAGAGGGGGAGGAGGTGGAGGTGGTCAACAAGTACAAGTACCTCGGGCTGTGGGTGGACAATAAACTGGACTGGTCATGCAACACAGAGCACCTGTATAAAAAAGCCCAAAGCCGACTGTACTTCCTCAGGAGGCTGAGGTCTTTTAACATCTGCAGGAAGCTCCTGAGGATGTTTTACCAGTCAGTGGTTGCTGGAGTACTTTTCTATGCTGTGGTGTGCTGGGGGAGCAGCACAGCAAAGAGGGACTCATCCAGGCTGGAGAAACTGATCAGGAGGGCTAGCTCTGTGGTCGGCATGAAGCTGGACACTCTGGTGACAGTGGCAGAGAAAAGGACATTAAAGAAACTGATGGACATTATGAACAATGCTGGGCATCCTCTGCACACGGCCATAAACAACCAGAAGAGTCTGTTCAGTGACAGGTTGCTTCTCCCCAAGACAAGAACTAACAGACTTAAAAACTCCTTTGTCCCACACGCCATCAGACTGTTTAACTCCTCTCTGGAGGGGAGAGGGAGGAGAAACAGGAGGACAAAGGAGGGGGGAACAACTAAGCTGTAGTGCCTCTTCACCTCACTGTACAATACCTTGTGCAATACTTTTTGTAAATAGTCAACAGTGCAATAGACTCCATACTTGAAATGTGCAATTCACTTGTATTTTTATTTTTTATTCCTATTTATTCTATTTATCCCCTTTGTATATTTTATTTATATTTGTCTCTGTATTTATATATGTGTGTGTGTGTGTGTGTGTGTGTGTGTGTGTGTGTGTGTGTGTGTGTGTATATATATATATATATATATATATATATATATATAACAATTCTGTAACTGTAACTTCGGTCGTTGCTGTGCTTTTTGGAAGTCGAATTTCCCAGAGGAACCCACCCGAGGGATTAATAAAGTTCTATCTTATCTCTTATCTGTGTGCTGCACACACGTTTCATCATCAGAGTCCAAAGAACAAAAAAGAAATAAAATACAAAGTGGGAATTTGCATTAATAGAAGCTGATTTAGAGACAGATTAATACTTTCTTAACATATTAGCGCAATGAAAGGAACACATGCAGGAAAGGTCCACAGCAAGATTCAAACCAGTAACTTCATAGTTCAATTATTTGACCAACACATTAAACCCACAAACCACAAAGAAACCCAGATAAGAGAAGTGACCCTGTTAGACTTAGTAGAGCAATCCCTTGATGAGGCAACAGTCAAGCTGTGGGAGCTGAAGCAGCGCAAGCAGGCGGGTGGTGGTGGTTTTAATGCAGCACAGCAGCTACCAAAGCAGAAATACAGGTTTTTAATGTTGGGCTATCAAGCCGACCGCATTTGGTCCAATTTGATCTCAAGTGAGCCACACCAGTAAATTATAAATAAATCCATCTATAGATATACAAAAGCAATAAATGCTACTTTTCATCGTTACACACTTAATCTTCTCTCATTACATTTGCATTCAATTATATGGTTCACAAATAGACCTTTAAAAAAAGCATAACAACACATAAAAATCATAATTTGTTAGTTCTTAATAATCCAAAACAACAAATGAAATGCTGTATGTACATGGATTTCCACTGGAAAGGCATTTTATTGATAAAATCTGAGGTTATTATTCATTTCTCTGCAGGGAAGTTCGGCCTCAGTCACACAGGTCTAAAGATTAGATGACAACAAAAAATTGGGTGGCAAGTTTCACCTTTCAAAACACGTTGGCTGCAGCATTGAGGCACTTTTACTTTGAAACAAGTGTGCGTCACACTTTTTCTAGTTTCACTATTGCTCGTTGATTAGTTGGTGGGGGCAGACAAGTTTCTGGCTTCAGTGCAAACTATGGGCAACCAAGCAAACTGCTGGCACCCAAAGCAATTGCAAGGTTTTGTTGTGCAGCACCCTGATTTAAGGACTGATTTTAGCTAGCACCATTCAGCAACAGACAGCAACCGCTCTCCAACTGGTTGGGGAATAGCCAATTTTCCTAGCGACCAGTGGTTGCCAGGGGAGTGCAGACTTAATAAATTCTGGCATCTCAGGGCTTCCATAAATTTGTTGACCGTGGCTTTGAACATTTTTAGAAAACATCCACATGACTATATGGGGTGTTGTGTGACGGTTCCTGAGGCTATGTTTTACTGCGCAGACCATCTGTGTTCTGCCCCCCCACACTTCCACCATCACAGACAATGACATTTAAGAGTCAGCAGCTGGGCGAGATCGGGGCGATATCACTCAACCATTAGCCCGTTCATCCTCATCCTCTAATCCCACCCCTGCGCCCCCGACGTCACAGCATCAAACACGGCTGGATCTGCACAAATCCCACACTTGCCGGCCGCTCAGAGCGCACCATGTGCCACGAGAAGCGCGCTTTCAGGCGACGCGCTTGAACGTGGATTGGTACGGAGCTGAGTGAGAGAGAGAGACTGGCTTCTTTCTGTTTTTTCTTCGGTTTCATATAAATATGTCTCATTCGGAGAAAAGTAGAAATTTGGACATTTTCTTTAAATGAACGCTGCCCGTTGAGGTGAAAGCAAACAAGGTAGGACAACATCATAAATAACGCAATGGTGAACATTTCAGTGTTTGGCAGGGCGACGTGAATCTGTAGAATTAATTTTCAGTAACTTTTACTTATCTTCAAGCTGAATAGTTAAAACTGGACAGCGTTTAAAGCTCGTTGGGGCGTGTAGAGGCAGGGAACAAGTGCGCATCCATCCAAACCATTATCACCGCGTTTTTGTCCACTGCCTGACAGGACGCTCTTTGTCCAGGAGCGCTCAGTCATTCAGCTCCTGAAGTCTGCATCCAATTCCTCTCCTGTGAGATTTACTGGGAATCTGAAGAAGCGATATTATGTCCTGATTAACTTTAATGTTTCATTAAGTGATGTGCGCATAATGGTTGCACAGTGTGTTCATGGAGCTGTCTGCTCGCCTCGATGCATCAGGCAGAATGCTGCTGGATGGACGCGAACTTAACGAGCTCCTGTGTACGTGTTATCATTATCATTAGTGGGAAAGAGGATCATGCACAGTCATCACTGGGGACTTTTGGAGCTCCATTAGAATTACATTTGAATTGTTTGATTAGTTAATAAAAAAACGTAACTTCTTTTCACCTTTTTCATTAAAATATAAAATTTAACTGGGTTTGACTCTAATTAATTAACTTCTAAACACGTAATGAGCTCCTCTTGTCTCATGCAGACGAAGGTGGAGCATTAAAATCTGAATACAAACGTGCACAATGCAGCTCTATTAATGCCATTACAATGGCTGCTTTTAATACATGCTTAAAGAATGATGAGAAATGCAAAATCTGGGGTTGGTGAAAGATGATGAAGGACTGGATCTGACATTTAAGTTTATTCTAAGCTGCATGTTTGACAAACATTAGAGAAGGCAAAAGGATCTTATTCGTTTTTGAGCTACATTTCCAGTTACACCCTGGATAAATGCACTGTGATCACAAGTTCACCAAAAAATGATCAGTGGCATATTAGGGACATGAACACAGTCTGGAATTCCCTTGCGGCTCCCAGCTCATATGCAGTATCATGTGAAGAGCATGTTTAATGACAGCAGAACCTCCACTGTTTATTGTAATAACTTTATTGTTTAGTGAACATGAGTGAGAGGAGGAAGCTGCTCTGAACGTGGTCTTCTGCCTGCTAAAGGAGAAGCAGTTATGGTTGGATAGTGAGATTAGTGTTTAATTAAGAGGTCACGATCAGTCGATTGAATTTTAGAGGGTTTTTTAACATTAAGATGTAAATTTGTTTTTTCACAAAATGTAAATGTTTTAACATGATAACATGTATTGTTGGGCTGCTGTGGACCACTTAACACAGTACCTCCCCAGTGCAGTAATGTAATTAGTAAAAAACCTTATTTTATAAAGCCTTATTTTAACGCAGATCTTAGTCAGATGACTGAGACGAGGCTCGTTTTGCTGGTCAGCTCTTCCCCTTTCATACTTGTGCTGTTGAAATACAGAGAATTACCCAGATAGAAGGATTGATACACTTTTATGTTGAAGTTCAAAAGCTTTTAGCACAAACCAGAACACAAACTGAGACGTTATCATGTGATTCCTGAGGTCCACCTAATGTGCTAATGTTGTAAACCCGCTCAACATTTGGCAATTAAACCCTTTCTGATTCTGATTCTAAAACCATGTTTAGATATTTCCAGCTTACAAATGATTTCCTTTGAAATCCAACAATGTTTCTGACTGAAATTTCATATAGTGGTGCTTTCTTTTACCTGCAGTATATCTGCTGTGGAAGTAATTCACTGAAGGAGGAAGACACTTCAGTTGCACTTTATTTTACAGTTCCCTAGTGAAGTGTCACACAGTGTACCAGCGGCATCAAACACAGAAAAACACTCATACACTAACAGATTCAGACACTCTGATTAGAAACCGATCTCCAAAATGGACTTGATTTTGTTGGAGGGTGGGCTGCTTGGAGTGGCTGATATATCTGTGTCCACAGCACATGACTGTCCTGCAGAATTCAGTCGTTTTCGCACTTTTCTCATCGTTATAGGTAATGTGGTGGTTGACAATGTGAACATAGTGTGAAAAGATGGCTTCATAGCTGCACAATGAAGCTTTAAAGTGTAGTGTGCATTAGTATGTCCCCACCAATTATACTGAAGGCTCAGCTGCTGTGGGTTAGCACATTAGGACAGTGACACTGAAGTCCTTGAGTGTTTCTGGGTCAAATTTTGCTTCTCATATGGAAATTAGCATCCAAGTCTACCATAGCTTGGAGCCTGTAACAAGCATTGTTGCCTCCTCCTCACAAACACTAGCCGGCTGAGTGGGGAAAAGCTCTTTTGCCCTTTTCGGCGACTTTCTTCCCAAAGGTTCCTTAGAGCAAGTGATGTCCTTGTAATATCAGTCCTGGGGTAACTGTGGTGCTTGGAGCCAGTATGTGAGAGATTTAGGAGATTTGTGCAGACCAGTGCACAAGTCCACAGTGTGTAACATGCACAAGGCAACCAAAGGTGCTACCTTTTCTAAGGGTTTACAGGTGATAGACCAGCCCTGATTACGCTGGAGCTTAGTGGTGCTGTTGATACCGTGGATCATAACATTCTTGCCTGAAACACTGGGTTAGCCCTAAGCAGCGAGTTCTTCTCGGTTCAGTTTCCATCTTAAGGATAGAACGTTCTCTGTTTGTCAGATTTTCTCATCCTCTGCTCTCGTCCGGGTTTGTATCTGTTTCCATTTGGTAATATTATTAGGAGGCACAGCATCTCCTTTCTTTTCTATGCTGATGACCTCCAGTTTTATCTTCTACTAGAACCTCAGGATTCCCTACAGCTTCTTATGAACTATTATGAAGATATTAAAGCCTGGATGATTAATAACTTAAAGTTATAACTGAGATCATCATCTTCAGTTCGGCCAAATCTAGAAGTGCTTTTGCAGGCTGTTTAAGTCATTTCACCTCATATTTAAAGCCTAATGCAAAAGACCTCGATGCAATTTTTTAAACCCATTTGTTCTCTTGTTAAAAATCATCTTTAAACGCAAATCTTTTTTTGGCTTTTCGTGATCTGGAAGTTCATCCATTCCTTTATTACTTTATGTCTGCTTTTTTGGAGATTCCTGTACCTTGGTGTCACCTGTGTCTTTAAACACGTTAACAGAGTTCAGCAGCTAGATTTTATTGCTGATTTCTTACATTTCCAATATCACATTTGGAGTAACAAGGTAACCATCTTTGCAGTCACTGCTCCACAGCTATGGAATCACTTAATGCTTGAGATAAAAGGAGAGTCTAGGCTCAAAACCACCTTTACTCTCTGGCCTTTCCAACCCACTAACCTCTCATTTGTTGTTATATCTGTAACCCTGCTGTCTTCTGGTTGATGTAGTAGTAGTTATGTACCTGCTACTGAAGGCCACTTAATTCTGTATTCTGCATCTCCACTGTTTACTTTACATTGTACAGTGGAACCCCGACTTACGAAATTAATTTGTTCCTGAGGGTCTTTCGTAAGTTGAAAATTTTCGTAAGTCGAAGCACCCGTCGCGCCTTTTGAATGAGGCGATGCTGAACGATAGGCTATAGGCTAATTGCTAACTAGAACAACAACACGTTGTTCAAGTGGAACAGCGAAGCGCAATTACGAAAGCCAAGGGGTTGTCACATGATTCGGAAGGCATTGTGGGCTCAGCCAATCAGAGCCAGCGGATTTCGTAACTCGGGCAGAAATATTGCCGTTCAGCGCCTTCGTAACTTGAATTTTTTGTTTAACGGGGTATTCGTAAGTCGGGGTTCCACTGTGTTTGTATGTATTTTTAATGTAATTACATTTAATGCAACTGTATTCTTTGCACAGCAATTCAAAAGCTCAATTTTAATTGTGCTGTGTAAATCTGATTTTGTTATACCTGTGAGAGGAAGTAAGAGACGGCCCCTTTTTTAACTTTCTTGGCTGATTACATTTTGCTTTTTAAAAGTTACATCTGCTTATTACAATTTTTTGAGGTTTTTGATTTTCTGAGAACTATAATTCACAGCATATCTAAGAATTTTTATAACAATCTGCAGCAGCTATTAGAACCTGGAATCAAACCTCAGAAAAACCTCAGGTTACTGGACTTAGGTTAACTTTTGTTGATTGATCTAACTGAAAGTGTAGCCAGCTTGCATGAGTCTGTAACTATGTTGCAGTTTAGTTTGCACTGGGCTTTCTATGCGGAGCTGGGCTTTTTTGTGCATTTCAAACAATGGCAGCTAACACTGAGGTGATCCACCTGCTGTTGGACTGATTAAATGTTGAATAAGACTTAACATAAAAAAAGGGTTAGAATCGACAGAGTATATACATGCATTGGAACTGTGAGAAACAGAAATCAGGATGTGGCTACACTGGCAGATTAATGACTATTACATTAGAATTATAATTTATTTGCAGGCTATTAAATCCTACACTTTTTTGAAAATAATATCTTATATCAAATCACAGAAATGCAGAGACGGATGAAGAAGAGCTCGATACTTCTATCAAAAAGGTGTTACAGAAACCATCTGTCAACAACACCATGTGATACACTTAACTGAAGGGGAATTGTTGATCTTGGGTTCAATGATGAAATTGTAAAAACTGTGATGCATCATAAAGGAGACTCAGAAAATGTGATGGGAGGATGACGGTGATTGAAGGAATCAATTTAAGACATCAGCAAAGCACAGGAAGTCAGCTCCAAAGTAATATTGTGTTTTCTTCCATCTAGACTTTCATATTACTCCATGTAAGTAACATCCAATCATGACCAGACAGTTCAAATCATCCTTAATGATTCTCAGCAGCTACCCTTATCTGATCCAAATCTCTTCTATATAATTTCTTGAGTAGACGCTATCACAGCTGTTAATTTGCTGTCTGCTTGAAGGCACACGAGTGTGACACTCAGACAGCTGAGAGGAGGCTGACTTTTTCATTGGCCCATTTTGTTGTTCACATATAATCAATAGTTATTTTACTTTTCTTCACGTGTGTCAAATTCAGGTGGACCTACTCTTAGAAAACAGATTAAGTTCTGTACGAGCAGAGAGTAAAAAATGAAAGTGTTAAATTCATAGCTTTTCATTCTAACATCAAACATGATATGAGATACCAGTACAAGGGAGGGAGGCTGTCAAAAGGTTTAAGAGACTGAATAAGCCTGTCAGAGAGAGAAAAAAAAATCAAAAAAAGCTGAAAGACTGCAGAAAGCGCCTCGAGGAGACTGTTGTTGTGATTAAATAAAACTGAATTAAATAGAGGCCAACTAGAGTGGATGACATCTAACCAAGGCAAGACCCTTTTTGAGGGGGTAAGCGTGTCACTGTCAACATTTACAAACCAAAGTTGGCTTAATGAATAGAAACACATTCAGGGTTTATTACAAAGCATAAACCACTGGTTTCACTGAAAAAGAGGAAGATTGCTTGAAACGCTCTAAAAGAGCCTTCACAGTTCAGACAAAGAAAATTCTCTGGACAGATGAAACCAGGATGGAGAAAATTATGGCGGACGAGTTGAACTGGCTCGTGATCCAAAGCATACCTGTCAAAAATGGTGGAGGTGTTATGGCATAAGTATGTATGGTTGCCAGCGGAACTAAGAACGGATGTTTTAACTGCTGATAAAGGTAACAGGATGAAGTGTGAAGTGTACAGGACTATATTCTTAGACAGACTTAGACAAGTGCTGCAGAAGAGTGCATCAGATAGTGCTCACAGCACAAATGGATACTGATCCAAAGTAGACTCAAAAGCAACCCAAGAGTTTCTCACAGCAAAGAAATGGCTTCAACCCAGCAGAGCAGGTTTTCAATTACTGAAGAAAAAACTGAATGCAGAAGGATGTCAGAGTAGAAATGATTAGCCTGTACTTACAACACGTTCACCTTTGAAATGTTTTCGACAGCATACGAACATAAATTCACAATTGCGAGTTTGTTGACTTGGTGGGTAATTTTTTCTTTGGCATTTTCTTTTTCCCTCAACAACCATCTCATCTCGTTTTATAAAACGCAATTAGACAGCGACAGCAGGATCCCACAACAAGAGCTGCTCCAGTGTGGCAATGCTCGGGTTGAAAAAGTGAAGGGGGAAGAAGTGCTCTTTTCAAGTAGCAACACAGATGGAAAATAGGACAGTGAAGTAGCGCGCTGCTGCTGGCACGGGGCCGGTTTGACATGTATTGAAAGAGATGCTGATTTATTTATTTTATTAAAAAGGCTTAAACAAAATGTTGAGGAAAGGTTTGATAATCTCATTTATACCAGAGACTGAAAAGATGGACACAGCTTGGGATCTGTAAAGTGAAACAAGTGGTTGTAAAACCAAGTGCAGCTGTTAAGAGGACGACTGGGAAAACTTAATCCATCAGCTTTTCCAATAACGAGTTTGAGTTGAAAATTTCAAAGTCTTATTGGACACTTTAATATTTTCATTTTGTACTTCATAATGTACGGATGTACTGAATGCTGACTATACTAAACTACGTTTGAATAATGGCCAATAAACGCCCAGTAGGTAAAAGTTGGACAAGAGTTGGCAGTTTGTCTTGTAATGGGAAGGTTGCTGGTTCGAGCCCCGGCTCCGACAGTTTCGGTCGTTGTGTCCTTGGGCAAGACACTTCACCTGTTGCCTACTGGTGGTGGTCAGAGGGCCCGGTGGCGCCAGTGTCCGGCAGCCTCGCCTCTGTCAGTGCGCCCCAGGATGGCTGTGGCTACAATGTAGCTGCCATCACCAGTGTGTGGATGTGTGGATGACTGGATGTAGTGTAAAGCGCTTTGGGGTCCTTAGGGACTGAGTAAAGCGTTATACAAATGCATTTATATTTTAAAATCAGACTTACTCCAGCCTGGAAAACCTCAGGGGATAAAGTACAAGCAGTTACAACAACGTTGCTCAAAATGGAGCTTTTAAAAAATAATTTATCATCACCTCCATTAAAATAACAGACAAATAAAACACAGCGGGTGATCAGATAACCATCAGATACATCAGCCGACTCGAGCTTTTTTGATAAGAAATGATCAAAATCAAAATGTATCTGCCCACACTCAACATCTGGTATCATGCAAAAATCGCAGCATTGTTGTAACACAATAAAAACCCAACACGCTGCACTGATGTGAGAGTGAAAGGAACAAGGTTTCATCACAGATTTCTCTGAACTTTATCATTCAGCTACAAAGGCAGAAAACTTCTCTTTGAAGAGGTGAGGGTATTTCTTTTACTTTTAGAGGAGCATTATCTTTCTTCATTTTGATTTCTTCCCGTTCTTGTGTAACATTACACATTATAATCTGACAGGATGATATGTTTTTAAGGTATTTTTGTACTCCTTAATGGGTGCTTTTTTAAAAGATTGGGATTAAAACTTTTTGATTAAGCTTATAGTTAAGGCTGGATCAGGTGACCTGAATCCTCCCTTAGTGATGCTGCAGTAGGTCTAGTCTGCTGGGGGATTCTTCTTCACTCACATCTTTTTTGTTTGTTTGTTTTTTAAATACTATTAATCTCTGGCTCACTTCCACAGTGCGTCTTTTTCCTTTCTTCCTCCCTAACCCCCAAGCAGATGGCTGTCCCTCTCTGAGCCTGGTTCTTCTTGTTTTTCCTTCCCACTGTCACCAAGTGCTTCCTCATAGGGTCATCTAATTGTTGGGGTTTTCTTTCCAGTATTGTAGGCTCTTACAGTATGATGCACATTCAGGTGACTGTGACTGTGATTTGGTGCCATGTGAATAAAACTGAAATGATTTACAACACTAGAGAGGGATTCAGTTGTGGTCAACAAACATGTTTTCACCAAAAATCCTTTAACAAACCTTCGATTGCAGGATTTTACTTAATACAAAACTAATCTTAAAATAAATAAATAAATACTCCAGTACCTTCTCATTGCACTTTTCTAACGACTTTTCATATTACAGGGTTAAAATGAACGAAGGATTTGAAAACAACTTGACTCAACTGAATGACAACTGGACGTTGTACAACTCCTCCCTGGAGTCTGTCATACCCAGGAGCAACATCACTTATGTTGGATTTTACCTGCATCAGCCATCCACGGCAGCCATCTTCATCGTGTCCTACCTGCTGATTTTCCTCGTGTGCATGGTGGGAAATGGAGTGGTGTGCTTCATCGTGCTGAGGAGCAAAAATATGCGGACTGTTACCAATTTGTTCATCCTAAACCTTGCCGTGAGTGACCTGCTGGTGGGGATTTTCTGCATGCCAACAACGCTTCTTGACAACATAATTACAGGTGAGCAGACAGTAATAGAGGTGTGTTGCTCTTTTGTGCTATCAGTGGCAACACTACCCAAAAACTACCTGGTGAAATTGCATCAAATTTGAGAGGTTGAGCATGGAGTAGGGAAGAAACTATTACTTTTTAGCACAGAGGAATTTCTGCATGTGGATTCTTATAAATTAGATGATTTATTGCTTCTTGCTTCCTGAGAACCCAGATAGAGGACAAACTTCTATTGTGATTAACATCCCGAAAGGCGTATTTAAGCTTCAGTGTGTAGACCGAACAGCAATAATGGACAACAAAATAAAAGGTTGCCAACATGAAAGTTAAAATCTAATTTCCTTGATGAAAGTTTTGCAGATTATCTGCAGAACTCAGCAAATACTAATGAACAGAATCATAACCAGCTACTTACCAGGTTCTGAAGCAGAAAATAACCACTTTTTGGTAGCGATAGAACATCTTAGAAAGATTTGGTATACCCACTGCACACATAAACCTAAATTACAAATGAATGTTAAGGCAGCCGGAGTATGGTAAAATCCAGTCACTGCAGTGGAACCAGATCTGATTCCTGGTATCCTGAAACGGCCACCGAGCAGAAGGGTTAAGGTTTTTCTGTCGTCTTCACTTTTGCCCTGTTTTACCAAGACTTGCTTCACATTTCAGTGATCGCAAAGAAAATGCTGTATGAAAAAAAGTGTTCTCACCATCTTTTCCAGAGTTCAACCAGCCATTTAGCTTTCTACTGTGAAATCACAGCGTCAGAGCTGCTGGCTTTGAGTTGTATTAATGTGGACTACCCAAGTTTTCTGTAGAGCCATCCCTTGCTAAATGAACCTTGTGAGCACTGAGACATGACCCACCGCTTTCTTATCGCCTGTGGTGGTGAGAAACAGAAGAGGCTCGGCAGAGTTGAAATTGTGAGCTGAGATGGAGAAACCGGGGCTTTTTCCACATTGTGCTCCAATTCCGTTTGACAGTTGGTTGCTGATGACTAAATCACACATGAGCAATTTTTAAGGCAAGTGATAGTAGCTGGGGGTTCAGATACTGTCTACAGTTACACATTGAAATTAAATGACTAAAATTTTCCTGACAATGATTTTATGATAATTTACTCTTGGAAAGTGTTTTCAAATTCCTTTGATTCTGATATGAAATGACAGTTTCAAACTAAAGCCCACGAGCTTCTGTATTTTGCTAACAATAAGAATGTCAACTGAGTGACAACGAAATTGCTTTACTCATTTAGAGCAACAATTTTGGATGTATAACGAGAGCGGAATCTGCAATTAGTGATTACAGTTACAGACCAATTATCCACATCTTTCCTCTTTGTAAGAGCAGATATTTGGTATGAAAAAAAAAACATTATAGTCTGAATCAAGAGCCAAACCAGACATGTGAACGTACAGCTGGCTGGAATTCTTTGTGTGATTAAATTCCTGCTGCGATGACATAACAATGAATTTAATCCAGAAATGTAAGGGACGGCTTGCACCCACCAGCAGGAAGCATATTCCAGATTAGCTTTCCAGTAGATTATCGCATTAAAAATTATGCAGAGTTTTAGAAAAATCTCTTTCAGTGCGAACCTCTAACCTCAACAGTTCAAGAATACACCAGTGGGTAAGCATTTGCTGCACTATGAACTGGAACAGCTAAAAATAACAAAAGCATTTAATAAAATAAAGCGTGTATGCAATCCCAGTGTCATCCATTAATAAAAGAAACCTAGAGGAGAGACATGTCAACGGAGTAGGAATTGAGCTCTGGAATCAACACCTGCCGAGCACAAAATAATAGAAATAACAGGATAGTAGTAATAATAGAAAAAACATCAGTAAAAATTATTTTGTGATGTAGCTTATTGGAGAGAATGATGATTACATTTGGCTAATAATAGCAAGATTTTTGCACTTGTGCAACTTGGATATATCCATATCTGCAGGGGAACAAACGTCTTGCACAGAAGAAGCCTAATGTGTAAACACTGAACCCAGGAGATACAAGTATACCGACCCCTGCTCGCCACCTCTCACTGAGGACGACTTTACAGACCGTCTTTAGGACATAGGCTTCAAAACCCGAGCTGTGCGTTGAAGAAAGCATGACTATATACAACTGGCATCTCTCAGCCTGGTGCAATAGCTCCAGCTGCTGCTGTTCGAAGTGCCAAGAACCAGTTTGGATCTGACTGCCCAGACCTCCCCCCCGACTGCTTCCCCATTCATATTGCATCAGACACCAGTGGACCCCCCAGCCAGTAGGAAGGGTGATTGGCAGGGCTGGCCTATAGGGCTGTCTCTGGTTGAGGTCAAGTATTGACCAAACTCAGGTCATCTGCAGAGCACGTCTCCATACAGAAATCTAAAATATTTGATTAGGCTTAATCAGATATGGATTTTAAAAGGATTACACTTTGGTGGGAGGTGCATGCTTATAGGTCATAATTAAGCGGGGATCCTGATTGCTTTCCAGAATGCATTAGCCTTTGCAAAGGATGTACCACCCGAGAGCTTTACATTACCTGACTCTCTTATCAGCAAGATTATAGAAAAAATGAAATGTGGATATACCATCTTATTATGTGACGCCACCTGCAGCCATAACTGTTTTTGATCGCTCCAGAAGGTGATTATGTGAAGATTCTGCCAACATTAAGGTGTCATGGCCACACAATTTCATGCAATCATGAAATGATAAAGCGGGATAGGAGACATCAAAATGAAGGCCTGGTTCAATAAAGGGAGGAACAAGTGGCTGATGACCCCGACCACTAGATGCCTGTTGCAACACTTTTATTTTTTGGGTCTGTTCTGAGAATTCATGAGTCAGCTTGTCACATTTCATGTTACACAAGATAGGATAACACAAGATGTTTTAGAAGAATATACTCCAGTAAATTCTCTGCAGTTTCTTTAGTGTGTTATGTTGCATGACCTAGTGGAGAGGCCGTGTTAACAGGGCAAGAAAGATTACCGTCGGCGTCTCCAGCAGATTTTTCATGCCACTGAAGATCCAAACATTTGAGCAGGAAGGGAGCCCAAAGTGATGATCAGGCGAAAAAAGATGGCCCTCTATGTTTGCTGATCGACTGTTGAGATTTGAGTAAAATATCAGTGGACATAATGGTAAATGTGATGCAGCAGACAAAAAAAAAGGTTCAAGGTGAGTCAAGCTGCAGTTTGTATGAGGACAAAATGAAAGATTCATTCAGACGCCAGCAGGCCAAAGAGCTTTTGGCACAGAGATGAAAATTGAGCTCACTCAGCTGGAACGTAAAGGGCTGTGTCAATCATAAAGTGGGCAGAGCTCATCACCAGTCTGCCTGCACTCCATCTTTCAGTTCTTTCAGTGTTAGGAGTAGGATACAGAGAAATTCAGTGGCATTTGGCCAATAAATCACTCCGACATCTCAATTCAGCTCTGCTTTCCATTATTGCGTCAGAACAGATTAGATGCCATTGTAATCTGTCTGTCTGCAGTTTGCATGTTACTCAGGCTGCATGTATGAAAACATGACCTTATGCATAATTTTTTCTCCTTGTAGCGTAATAGTCATGTGTTTACAGTGATCGTGCACCGAGCTTCGAGTGCAGCCAAGCATGGGCGACCTACAGCTGAGTGATAATGCACGATGCATTCAGGCACAGACAGAGTATGGGAGCCGCTGCTGCTGATACTGCGCTCGTGTGCTGCTCACACCTGTAAAGGCTCAGGGATGTGATGCATATCCTTTTTTGTATGTTAGTTTCGGTTGTCAATGAAAACTCTGGGTGTTTGATTTATATTTAAAATTTCACAAATACCAAAAAGATATATTTCTGTGAAAAAATGTGTTGATGAGAGATTGTGGACAAAAGGAGAAAAGCACAACTTAATTTTGTAGGCAATAATTAAAAGTTAGGACAGGGGCGACAAAAACATGAAAAGTGATAATAATACATTTTAAAAAACACACAGTGGAACATCTGATAACTAAGATGTTAATTAGTAGCATTATTTGGAATAAACAGACATTTCCTGAGAGGTTGCAAATTTAATAGAGACTAGAAGAGGATCACCACTCTGAAGGACTGCGTGTGCAAACGTCTCACAATTATGAAGAATTTTTGGTACATAAACAAGTAAATGTGAGGTTCGGCCTCTCAGGAGCACTCTCTCTGCGATCAGGAAAACAAGTAAAAACTCTAAAATGCAAACAAACAGATGCATAATGCACATTTTCGAAATGCTGATATCTCCTGGGTGCTCAGCACTCAAATCTATGTGAGCTATGAAACTACAGCTAAGCCCTCAGTGGCTGAAAACACCTAGAAATGTTGTTAAAAGGAGAGGTGATGCAACCAGAGGTAACTTGCCCCTCATCTCACCTTTCTGAGACATGTTGCTGGCATGAATTTAAAAATGAACATACTAAAATGTGTTTCTGCATTTTTAATTCACATTTTTTCAGCTTTTTGGAAACGAGACTGGACTCAATGTTAATGGAGGTCAGGGGTCAGGGCTTTAACACAATGAAGTGAAGCAATAAATAAAATGTACAGCTCTCCATTTGACAATGAGACTGTGAAGCTTCCCAACACCAACGAAAAGCAGTGCGATGACGGTTACAGTCATCTTCTTTCAGCTATAGTGATAAGAGGCTCTTGTTTAGCCCATGAGTGCTCTGAAAGGACTGGACTACTCGCAATCTGCCGCAGTTTCTAAGAAAGCTTTCATCTACAGCCCATGTGATGATGCTCTAGTTCACCGTGATTGATGGTATTGAATCTGCATCAGTGCTTACTGGCAATTCAAATTATATGAAAGAGGCATCGCAAGAAGATTAAAGACGCCCAAAATCTGCCTGCTCGTCTGCTCAGCACTGTGAGCAGATTTGGCAGATGCTGTGTAATTTTGGTTAATAACATATTGTGTGTAACAGAAGTGCACTATCGCACTGTATAATATAATTTTGTGAATAGAAATTATTGTAAAAAACAGTAACTGCAGACCTCCAGCAAGAAGGAATTGGTGTTTGAGGATATTTTTTATTATGGAAACCGTAATTAATAATGACACCAGACCGTCTCTGCGTCCAGTATGCGGATGGATGGCAGCTCAGGATATCAGCATATTGTCTGCCTACACAGAAGAAATTTGATGAAAGTGGGTCTGTCTCTGCCTTATTTAGAGTTTTCTGTTCTGAAAGGGATTAAGAAGCTGAGCGTATTATGTAGACAGCTTGTTAATCTGTTTATTCCTTAAAAAATGAAAGAAAGGAAGACAAGGAGGTAAACATATACACAGTGAAATAAAAATACGCTTTCAGTCCAGTTATTTCTGCCATTATATTTATCTGACATCATCCATGTAAGAGAGCAAACTTCCAGATCGTTGTGCTCCCAGCTGTGCGAGGCTTAATCCTCAAATAATTTACATAGTTCAAAAACAAGACTATCCCCTCCTCTTTCAAATCCCTTATTCTGTTTCCTAGATATACATTTTAATATCTTAAACCAGTAACAGAGATATGCCTTATGTTATTATTAGAAACTGAAAAGAAAAATTATTTCATTAATTTTTTTGTATTTCATTTTGATCAATTAATTTTAATTTCAGCAGGTGGTATCACACTCGAACAGATTGAACACGGACTGAACAGTGGGAAATACATGATTTAAACCTCCCTATACCACAAAATATTTTTTTTCATTGTAAACAGCTGTGTTATACTTGGTGAGACTCTAGAACTTAAAGAAATATACATATTTTTTTAATTATTAGTAATTGTTTGTATGTACTGTTAACATATACTGTTTTATCAAACAGCCTGAGCTTATTAATATTAAAAACATTTCACCGTAATTTTGACAATAATTCTAACAATGTTTTGACATTTTGTTAAAATTAAAAGTACGGTATGTTTTAGGTAATATACAGTTGTAAATCGTAAATTCAAATGAAAAAAGCAGGAAAGATTGTCATTCATACAGAGTTATTATGTAAATTGTAGTGTGATTCATTGTAAATAATGTTACAGATTTTTCCTGTTGTTTTCAAAGACAATGTGCCATATTACAGTACATTAATTTATTTTCAACATATTAGCAGTGTAAAAATAAAAGCAAATCACCATTTTTCAATTTACAGAAATGTAATGTCCATATTACAATAAATTACTCTTTTTGATTTAATGGTAATTTACCATTTTACAGTTATTAACTGTCATTTTTATGTACATTTCTTACAGTGAGGTTCATTTTCAAACTCAAAGAGCCCTCATCAGATCCCCCAAAACGTAGTAATACTGCTGGTGGGTGGAGATAGAAACACTATTATAAAGTTCCCTGAAAATCTCGTCCTATAAATGTTTTTCTCGTCACTGTTCAATGCCAATATTTTAAAACTCAGATTTCAACTTCACTAATAAGAACAACACGCTCTGCCAGGAACCCCGTGAGGTTTGTTAGTCTCATTCAACCTTCATCTGGTATAACAATTAATTGCAAGTGCAGATAAATGGCTCATATCAACATCCTTCTAGCCTGCTGGCCTCTCGGGCGCTTGTTTGTGCAGTGAAGCTCCTATATGAATGAACTGGAGAGGGATTCACACGTTTTACTGAATGCTTAAAAGCATTTTCTGCAGATTTTACTAAACTATTCTTGCACAAAGGGCTGATTGAGGATTCCTTGAGTACCGTGTTTCTTCTTCCTGTTCACTCTGTACTGATGATTGTCTGCAGACATATTAAACATCAACACTGTAGGTGTTACTGTTACCAGCATCACTGATTACGCATTGTTCCCAATCAAAACACTTGCTTATGGCATTAAGACAGTGTTGGGGGTCAGTGTTGACATTGTGGAGGACTATAAATACCTTGGAGTACACATTGACAATAAACTGGACTGGGCTAAAAACACCACAGCACTTTACAGGAAGGGCCAGAGTCGTCTCTATTTTTTGAGGCGACTGAGGTCCTTCAACATCTGCCAGAAAATGCTGAGGATTTTCTATGAGTCTGTGGTGGCCAGTGCGATCCTCTATGCTGTTGCATGCTGGGGGAGCAGGCTGAGGGTCGCAGATGCCAACAGACTTAATAAACTGATCCGTAAGGCCAGCAATGTTGTGGGGATGGAGCTGGACTCCCTCAAGGTGGTGTCGGAGAGGCGGATGCTGTCCAAGATAAAGACAATGTTGGATAACACCTCCCACCCACTCCATGACATGTTGGTCAGTCACAGGAGCACGTTCAGTGAGAGACTGAGATTACCCATGATGCACCACTGAACGACACAGGAAATCATTCCTGCCTGTGGCCATGTCCCTGTACAACGCATCCACTTAACACACTGTTTGCTGCTACAGCTACACATGTTTCTTTTCCAAATATTTATTTATAAGTGACTTATGTACCGTATGTATGTATGTATGTATGTGTATATATTGTACTATTCTTAGTTAGCGTATTGTCTGTCTTGTCTTAATGTTGGTTTAAAATGGAGCACTGTAACAAAAAATAATTTCCCCCAGGGATCAATAAAGTATTCTGATTCTGATTCTGATTCTGAAGACAAATCCCCTCAGCTTCAGCGTACACTGGTGAGTTTGTGGGTGTAATCTTTGTTTTCTCGTTTCTTATTCTTCTCCAGAATTTACATAGGTACTGGAAAACTATCATATAGAGCAGTCGTGCCTCTCAGGCCTTTGCATACATGTGGGTCGCATAATTAAGACTAACCGGCAGTGTTTAACACTATGGTCTGGATTATTAAAAGGTTGTTTTGAAAAGTGTTTCCTAAATGGCCTTCTGGCTTTTTCAGAACTCACTGGTTAAATATTTCTTAGAGGAACTGATGGTTTCTTCTGTGTCCCAGAAGTATGCCATTACATGAGAGTCACAGCCTGGGGCTACAGTCATCATGCCAACTGTCACAGTTTGTTGTCTCAGTAGTAAATCAGCTGAGTGCATCTCTCTTGTCAACAGGATGGCCTTTCGGAAGCTTGGTCTGCAAAATGAGCGGCATGGTTCAAGGCATCTCTGTGTCAGCTTCTGTCTTCACGCTCGTCGCTATTGCTGTTGACAGGTAACGTAGATGTATTTTATCTTTTAAGCTGCTTTTGAAAAATATAAAGGTCGCAGCGTCTTTTATGCAATTTGTTCAATATGTGCTTTCCATGAATTTGTGTAATTAAGTACTTTGAAGTCCTGTCATGATCCTGGGCTTTTTGTGAGCTTGTGATTCCTTTTAGTTGTAAGAGTCTCTCGTTTGGAATCTGTTTGTACTATTTTTATATTCTCGTCCTCCTTTGTCATCCCTCTGTCTCCTCAGTCATGTCCCCCCATCTGTTTGGATTTCTTTTTCTATGTCAGTTCGGTGTTTCTTGTTTCGTGTCAAGTTTGTATATATCAGTCAGTCACCTGTTCACTTAGTTCCTGTTTAATTTGCCAGTCCCTTGTCTCATGTGCTTTGCGTGTAGCTTTGTTTCACTCTGTCATGCTTCCCCTGATTTAGCTCAGCTGTGTTTCCCCGGTGCGTCACATCTCCCAGATTACCTCTTGTGTATTTGAGCCTTCAGTTCTCCTGCAGTTCCACCCCCAGCTTTATTTAAAACAGTCTTTTAGAGTGAATGATATCATTAAGCTTATGACAAAGCTCAGATGGGTAATAATAATAATAATAATAATAATAATAATAATAATAATAATAATAATAATAATGGGGTGCCGAGAGAAGAACTGTGGTACTGCATGAGGAAGTCAGAGGTATGTGAGGGGGCATAGGAAAGACAGTGGTACAGTGTGAGGAGTGACAGATGAGTTTAAGTTGAGTGTGGGATCGTTTGTAGTAGGGATGGACAGGTTGACAAGTGAGGCTATGCAGGAGTTTCTGTGGACTATGATGTTTGCAGACAACTTTGAGATCTGCAGTGAGAGTTGGAAGCAGATGGAGGAGAATCTGTAGCGGGGAGGTATGCTCTGGAGAGAAGGGGAAGGAAGGTCTGCAGAAGCAAAACAGAATACATGTGTGTGAATGACAGGGACGCAGAAGCAAAGGTGAACATGTAAGGAGTAGAGATATTGAAGGTGGATGAAATGAAATACCTGGGGTCAAGCATCCAAAGCGATGGGCAGTAAACAAGAGAGGCGAAGAAGAGTGCACAGGCAGGGTGGAGCAGGTGGAGATGAGTGTCCTTCTATCACAAGAGTGAAAGGGAAGGTTTATAAAATGGTAGGAAGACCTGCTGTGGTGATGGCACTGATAAAAAGACAAGAGGTCAAGCTGAAGATAGTAAAACTTAATTTGGACAGACCAGGAAGGACAGGATTAGAGGGACAGAGGGCTAGCTCAGGTTAAAAAGTATGGAGACAAAGGTAGAGAGGCACGGGTAAGATGGTTTAGGGATGCTGGAGATACTGGACAAAAGATTTTGAATATGAAGCTGCCAGGCAGGAGGAAAAGAGTGAGACTCTAAAAGCAGCAGCCCAAACAAGAAGACGTTGATGACAGTAGGCAAGTAAATGGTAGTGCTCTGATGCAAAGAAACAGGAAACTGCAGCTTCAGAGTTCTGAGATAATTTTATGGGGATTATCAAAATTCCCATAAAATCCCCTTGTTTCTATACTTTCTGCGGCCCATCTGGCCTGAGTTGGGCACCCTGCTGGCCCCAAACACCACAGATAGCTGACATACATCTATTTGTGTCCTCTAATCGAGGATTACACGCATGTCAGTGACGGAAACAGTGGATCCTGTCTCCTCTTTTGTTATCTCATGTGTGCAGAAATGCACCTAAGCCATCACAGTTAGTTACGTCCTCTTGGTGAGTGTTACAGGAGATTTGTACCATTACAGTAACAGAGTGCATGGGCTGAACAACTACTGAGCAAACAGAGAACCTTTGTCTTCATCCGGTCGTCCTTCTCTCACCAGTCAGGGCAGATGGCCCCGCCCCTCCCTGAGCCTGGTTCTGCCGGAGGTTTCTTCCTGTTAAAAGGGAGTTTTTCCTTCCCACTGTCGCCGAAGTGCTTGCTCATAGGGGTCATATGATTGTTGGGTTTTTCTCTGTATCTATTATTGTACGATCTATCTTACAATATATATAAAGCGCCTTGAGGCGACTGTTGTTGGGATTTGGCGCTGTATAAATAAAACTGAATTAAAAATTGAATCCAACCAGAGAATCGCCTTAATCTAACTTCTCTCAGCCTTTGGGTATTTAATAGCTGAGCTATTATACCAATAATTTTTTTTTCATTCTCAGACTGTTGCTGTTTTTGCCTCAGCAGGAAATGGAAACGCTACGGCAGTGTTTCCCAACCTTTTGGAGCCGCGGCACATATTTCACATTAGAAAAATCACACGGCACACCACCAAACAAAAGTGTCACAAGAAGCATATTGATCATTTTTCACCAGGCACAGTGGAATTGGCTCGGTTTGTCCCCAGTATACCTTTTTTGCTTTCTTCTGACCACTACTCCTGCCTTCATCTGGGTGAGAATTTTCTCCGGGACCAGGTCGGATTGACCACTTTTCCTTTTCAAATATGTATCTATTGCTATTACACGCTGGTTATCTCACTCACAGCATGACATTATGTAATTTCTTCTTTGTCTTCTGTTTTACTGGCGGTTGGCAACCCATTTACAGTTTTTTACAGACGCTAGGACACATGTCTCAATACTTAGGTCACTTTTGCAAAACTCCTCACACAGTGAGCACAACAGAAGTCTATGTGGGCTAAACTGAGGACCAGTTATCATTGTTTTGGCACAAAATGCATTCAATGACTACATCTCTCAAATTTCATGAATTATCTTCTCACTCAGACACAACAACTGCCAAAAATCTTTGTACATACAGGACATTTTGCATGTGCTTACATACTGTTTTCAAAACTGTTAAACTTATGGCCAAAACAATAACACAATGCAAAACTTGAAAAGACAGCAAAATTCAACAGCAATATTTTATTGAAACATATTTTAACTCTAAAAATGCAGTTTAACCAGCCACAGCTGATTCTCATTGTGGATGAACATCTGCACAGGTGTTACTCCTCCAATTGTTCAACTCCTTCAATTCTGGCAGCCAGGAGATTCTTTCCTAGGTGTGTTGCCCTAGATGACATAAGATGTGATGTGGATGAGAACCTGTGGCCAAATGGAGGAGACCGAGTAGATTAGCATTACTATTGTATGTGTATCAGTGGATGGTGTGTATACAAATTCTTGTATTTTGGGATTACTTAGTGCAAAAAAAATAAAAATACATAAACAAATATTAACGAATTCTGCATGATGTCTGATTCATTCCAGTAACATATATTGAAATTATAAACAGAGATGTGTCCTTGTTTTACACAAGAAAACACTGTAATGCTACATGTTGCTAGTGTTTTTTAGGTCATTGTTTTGTGGGTGACAAAGTGTGTTTGTCGGCTGTCAACCTTTGCTAGTGTTCTGGAGGAATGTGGTTATTTGAGACCTGAATGAAGTGTTTTGGTAGTTGTAGTGCATTTTGAATGTGAAATGAACTGCTTTGCCAAGCTGACGGTCAGTTAGGAGGATTGTGTGAAGAGTTTTGCAAAAGTGACCTAAATATTGGGAAATGTGTCCTAGCGTCTGTAAAAAACTGTAACAAGAGCAGGTAGTTGTGCTGCCCTCTAGTGGAAGAGAATGTAGTTGTTACTCACACCGATCACTTAGAGTACTAATCAGGTGGAACCGGATAATCTTCCACGGCACACCTATGTGCCGCAGCTACGGAGCATCTGTCAGCTAAAGGAGGAAAGATTTTCTCTTGGGTGCAAAAGGAGACCAAAAACAATCCTTAAAATTGCCTGTAGTGCAGGGTTCTTCATAATGCTTGAAGTTGGAGAATATTGGACTGCAGGCATTAGATCACAGAGACACGTCTGTAAAACACTGCCAGTCTTACTTAGCCATAAGTGGCGGCTGTGTTAAAATTTTATCTGCTTGTTTCCCTCAAGTGGCAAAAATAATAATAATTAAAAAACAAAACAACTATCCTGCCCCTTTTTTCAAATTCACCAAATGTCAGTGAAATCTGTTTTGTGATGTCTTGTTGAGAAAGACATAAGCCGGACAGGCTTGTGCAGCTTTATTATCTTTAACTGGCACATGTCTTCATTTGAATTGCTTCATTGCCGTCCACAAGATGTCAATGTCAAAGATGTTAATCCTGCTTAATCGCTTTACAAACCAAAGCAAGAGGCTTTAGAATCCAGTCTGTCGCCAGCACTCGAGCCCCACAAAAAGCCCCACATCCTAAGTGGAGTTAGAAGGTGTAAATATGAGGGTGACAAAAGCTCTGCGTGGTGTAAACTGACAGCGCTGTATATTATCATCTCTCTGTCCTCAGACACTAGACATGCAGCGATATCACTCCATCACTATTTGATATCACTAGAGGCTGTCTGTGCCTCTGGGATGGACAGATTTTGAAATGCTTTGACATACAGAATTGAAAGTCACCTTCAATATCCATCAGCTACATACTTAGAATTAAATTTGAAAGGACAAGGAGACACAGAGCTGTGTGTTGTCACCTTTGCTGTCATTGTTCAGTGAGCCAGTAATCACTCAGTCTCATCTTCTGTGCCTTCACCTTACTGCTGTCACATTACACAGCACTGTATCATCATGACTAATTGAATACCAAAATATCTTTTCAGTCTATGAGCAATTCATTTTAAACTCCGAGAGTCATGCAGGTTGAATGTTTGCACAGCATCTCCAGTTGGATTGAAGCTTTTGATTATATGTTGTTGTGTTACCGTGAAGTCAGTGGGCAAGACATCTCAGACAATGGCTGGAGAAAAAAGGCACAGAAGAAGGAGGGCATTAGCATTTTTGAAGTACCCGGCAGTGACATTTGTAAACACGGAAAAAGCAGACTGGCCCGGGGGAACTTATTTAGTCACTCGTTTATCCAGCGCTGCACGGTGACAGGCATCAAGGGAAAAAAGGGCTTTACTTCACAATGACATCCACAAAGCAAATTAGCCACACCAAAATAAGTCCAACTGAAACTTTTCAAATACAGTTTCCATGCTTAGACACAATGCAGCTGACATGACTGTCAGATACTGCAAACAAATGGAAAGTGATGGTGTAATGTTTGCATGGAGAGGTGAGAACACGACCATATAAGCTGATTTCTAAATGAATTGTACACTGTAACTATAGCTGGCAAGTGCTCACTTCAGAAGGAGTCAGCACAGAGACTACAAGCCCATTATCATCAATGGAGCTCCGGTGGAGAGGGTGCAGTCCTTCAAGTATCTTGGTGTCCACATCTCCTCAGACCTGACATGGGCTGCCCACATTCAGGTCCAGACCAAAAAGGCTAGGCAGCGCCTGTATCACCTACGACAACTGAGGAAGTTCAGGGTCTCTCCAAAGATCCTCAGGATTTTCTATACAGGCGCTGTGGAGAGCATCCTCACACAGAACATGACATCGTGGTTTGGGAACAGCTGTGTGAAGGACCAAAAAGCTCTCCAGAGAGTGATCCGTACAGCAGAACGCTGCTGCAGGATTGCTCTCCCCCCGCTTCAGGACACCTACACCAGGAGATGCCGGACTGGAGCAGATACTGAAGGACCCGTCCCATCCTGGCAACAAACTGTTCCAACTTCTGCAATCTGGTAGAAGGTTCAGCATCATCCGGGCAAGGACAGAGAGACTCAAGAGGAGCTTCTATCCCCAAGCCATCCAGGCCCTAAACACACACACCCGCCCTCTCACATCATCTATAATTGACTGAGACAGGACTCTCTTCCAGACACTAAACCAAGGCACAATGTACATTTCAATTCCTTTAATTTTAAACATGTTTATATTGTCTATCCTGTAAAATAGTCAGATGTCTATTCATATTAATGTACAGAATTCACCTGCTTGCTGCTACTACTGCACATTCACCCAATGTATATACTACACACACACATATATATATATATATATATATATATATATATATATATATATATATATATAAATAAATAAATAATGTTCTTCCTCTACACCCCCCATTTCTGCACATGTCGAGGAGCGTGTCAGGCTACATTTCACTGCGTGTTATACTTGTATAACTATGCATGTGACAAATAAAGAACCTTGAACCTTAAAGAACACATTTGTGCTTCTTAAGGCTTTGAACACAAAGGAAAATGACACAAAAATAGTCCTCGTAAACCTTAATGTCCTAATGAGCTAATCAGCAGCATTTATTCAAACAGCATGCCAGGTGCACGGTGACCTTTAGTGCAATATGATGTGAACGCCATGTAGCTTTTCAGACGCACATGCTCACGTAGTCAGAAAAAGTATTTTAAATGCCTACATGCATCTTAACCATCACCTTTTGTACCCTCTTGCAGGTTCAGATGCATCGTCTACCCATTCAAGCAAAAGCTGACCATCTCCACAGCCACACTGATAATAGTCATCATCTGGGTTCTGGCCGTATCCATCATGTGTCCCTCTGGCGTGATGCTACAAGTGACCAAGGAGCAAACCATCCGGGTGTTGCTGGGATATGATAACAAAACTATTCCTTTTTATTGGTGCAGAGAGAACTGGCCAAACCAAGACATGAGAAAGATTTACACCACAGTCCTGTTTGCCAACATCTATCTTGCCCCTCTTTCCCTCATTGTGATCATGTACGCCCGGATTGGGATTACGCTTTTCAAAACAGCAGTTCCAACGGGAGGAAAGCCGGGCCACGAGAACCGCCACACGGTGTCCAAGAAAAAGCAACGTGTCATTAAAATGCTTCTCATAGTTGCTTTGCTCTTCATCCTGTCCTGGCTGCCTCTGTGGACTCTCATGATGTTGAGCGACTACGCCAGGCTGACTGAGCAGCAGTACAGGATCATCAACATTTACATCTACCCCTTTGCCCACTGGCTGGCCTTCTTCAACAGCAGCGTCAACCCCATCATCTACGGTTTCTTCAATGAGAATTTCCGCAGAGGCTTTCAAGCCGTGTTCAAGTTCAGCCTGTGCACAGCCGACGGCCAGCGGAGGAAAACCTACTCGCACAGGCTGCAGGGAAACTCTGTCCTCCCTGCGAATAATGCACAGACCTGCCTGGAACCCATCTCTCTCAACAGCTTGGAAAAGAACACGTCCAGGCGAATCAACCATGTCACCGAGCAGGATTTGGTCATGGAGGACCTGGAAAAGGCATCTTGCAGTAGTGGGGGTGTGACTGCAGTGTCTATTTGAGGACGCACACACACACTTTGTTGTAGGTGGTGAGGAAAGATATTTGAATCTTAAATCATGCTGTGCTGTGCCTAAGAAAACCACGAGGCTCCCTTAAATAGATTTTACAAGCGGATGGTGAGCTGGAAAATGTCCAAGATTTCAATACAATACAAGATTTCAAGGCAAGAAAATAAATAAAAATAATAAATACACATCTTTAAGGGACTAGTTTTAAGGGGAACACAGCCTTTGGTTGTAATCTTATCACTTCAGATGCACACCATGTGACACACGTGCAAGGGCAGGACTTAATATTCCTGCTGTCCGTTGCAGAATGGTCAATTAGACTTGTCAATATTGCTTTGATAACAGGCTGCTGCACACTTGACATACAGATGGTGTCAAATTAAAGGGGAAAAAAGAGCAGCCAACAACACCATGTAAGATTTCAGGTCCAAAACTGTGACGGAGGGATGAGCGCCATCCTTTCAAAATGCATTTCTAGTCTTTTAATGATTCATAACTTTTTAAGGAGCCCCTGTCAAACTTGAAGAAACTGCCCTGATCACGACAGAAACGTTTCATTATAGGAGACAAAAACAGACGTACAAATCTGATAAATGTCCCCGAAAGCATAAAAGAGCCCCCAGATCCCTTCACAGTAATGCTCAAGTGTCCCTTTAATCTTTAATCTGCACCATATAAAATTTCTGTGTATAAATGTATAAAGATGCATCAAACATGACAGCATGACACTTGCAGAGAAGATTTCAAGATATGTCTTTGTAATGTGGCAAACTACACGAACAAAAATTCTCCCAACATCTGTCTCGTATTATTCACTGCTGCTGCTGCTGAAACCTTCGGCAACTTTCAGATCACGAGGAGAAATCCCACGTTGTGTGGTTTGTGTCGCCTAATGTTTGAACTGCTTTATTAAGTCAAACAACATACACAAGATATAAAAGTCAAAGGGCTCAAATGAGGAATAAAGGAGTTGAGAAAAGAAGTGGAGGTTGATGTAGCAACTATTAGCAAGTATTAGTCATCACGATCTTTTATATTCACAGATGCATTAATACATGAGAACAGTTCTTTTTTTAAAGCGAGGCATGTTTTTATGCTCTGCTATCACAGCCACAGCATATCACACTCACTTCAGAGATCAACTAACAAGTAATTTCAGTAAATATGAAATCTTTTTCTATGATTTTTATGCCATTAATCTAGAGGCTTACAACAAGCTGTTTTGTAACCCAGTTTGTAGCTGCTCCTATAAAAATGGTGCAGAAAGGTGACATCTTTACACTAAGAAAGGCAAGTTTGTGTGAATCAACTCAAAGGAGGAGAAGTAGTAGACTGTAAAGCAGGAGCAATCAGCCTTTTTAAATAGCCTCAGAGGTGATTGCTGACTGGAGTCAGGTGGCAAACGAGGCTAATCAAAAGCAGCTGTGTCCTGGGGAGAGAGGAGAGTGAGAGAGACAGAGGGGGTAGGAGTGGCAATCAACCTGTCCAGAGTAGCCTCCTCCATGACAGTCGGATAAGCAGCTAAGAGAATGGATGGCCTTCTTTGAAACAGAGTAACTCCAAAACCACAAAGACAGAAAAAACCCTGTTTGTGCAAAAGTGATAATTAAAGGTTGTAAAACTTAAAAAAGGAAGGTTTCCACTTGATTTTGATTAAAGTCCAGCAGCAGAGCAAACACACCAGTAGTTAGGAGAGTTTGCTGCGAGTTCTGATATTCACCAAGATTTTTCTCAGAGACACTGGAGATGGGCAAAGAGGCTTAGGTTTGAGAGCTCTGCTATAGAGATTGGATTAAAAATGATAAACATGTACTTTGCTTATGATAACTAAAATAAGGTCACATAATAAATGTGCTAATGATCTGTTGACATTAAAACATTAGAATCATTTTTTGTGAAGATGTTGCTTTGAACTGAAGACAGTTTGTGTCTTTTTATTGACAGAAAGACATTAAGCAGGAAAGATGATACTTGCTAACAGATATTCTGCAGGTGACACATTTACTGGGTTTTTTTATTCGGGCATAAAGCCCTATAGATGGCAAAGAGATGAAAGCTATGATTATCCATTTACAAAATTTTCATTCAGGATTTTACCCTAAAATCTGCTCTGTAAACATCCACACGTCAACGTGCAATTATGCACATTATTTATACAGAAACCTTCAATGAGCCCTTTATGAATGTGCCGTGTAAACACCACATCAAATCTTTTCCTGTCATTTTATTTTATTTTTTAAAATCTCTCTGAACCCTGTTGTGCTGTCGTCACACTGTAAATATGATCCAATGAATGACTTCAGTTGCTTTTTGTACTAAATGTCCTTTTTCAAGCAATTTTGAAAATATTCATAGAAAAGATTATAAATCACAGAAAAAGTAAAGCTGTAATCAACAAAAACATCATGATTTTACATTATTTACATTATAAACTCTGGCAGCTGTGAGATCTAAACTAGAACAACTTCAAGGGGTACCTCGGTAAATACACAACACATTCAGATTGCCAACACTTTAATGCTTTGGTCTTGTTGACATCTTTATATATGTCGATTTATACAAAGGTTAAAATTTAACATTGCTTTATGTAGTTTACCCTTTCAGTAAGCAACACATCTCGTGTTTGCATCTCTCTCCTGCTACAAAACCCCTCAAGTAAGCCTGAAAAGTGCAGCAAAGGCTAACCAGGCCAGCCATCACTAAATAAAATCACCCAGAAACTCGACTGATTTTAGTCGCTGCTTTTGGCAAAACCACCGCAGGCAAATATTTACTGCAAATAGCATCAGAGCAACTTCATATCAGGCTGTAATGAGTTTGCGTACAGTTGGAGTTTACAATGAGTTGCAGTCAGTGATCCATTTTGGAAACACTGTCAGCGTTCTCTAACGATGAATGCCTGCAGTGAAATGTGCAGGACAGCTGCTTTTAGGGACAAGGCAGTCACCCAAGAAGTCATGAACCCGCTAAGCCCAATCACTAATATAGCTCAGTGCAGCTGAATCACATATGCTTGCTGAGACTGCAAGAAAAAAAAAAATTCTACATCCCGAAATGAAAAGAATACCACTACATCCAGGATAAGGCATGTGGTGTCAGTTAAGGTAGGCATTATTTACCTCTCAGATAAACATGTTCACAGTCCAATAATTTCCACGTTTTAGATGCTAATTTCATGCAGATTTCTACTGCTGAGTCTTTACAGCACAGATATATACACACTGATAATATGCCATGTAATGTGATACAATTCAGTTTTAAAGTTGAGCTCTACAACCTAAAATTTCTTCATATCACTCCAACCTTTAGCTTTAGTGTGAATATGTCATGTTTTAAAAAAATCAAAACATCAAATTATTGCAAAATCAGCAGAAGCCTTTCAGCACAGCAGGTTGTAGCTCTTTGCCTGCTGTGAGTAAGTGCACAGTGATCACTGCCGTCCCAGAGGGAAATAAATGGATCCGCTAATGCTAAAAAACTCGGACACTTCTCAAAGGCAGGCAAACTTACGCTTGACAAGTTGTCCACATCAACCAGTTCAGTAAACGGATATCCACGTGCACGTAGAAACTAACTGAACTTACAAGAGACAAACACATTTAGCCTGAAAGTGGCTGCTTCCCTGCAGTTGACCGGTGCGCGGTCTCAGCATGATGAATGAATGAATGCAAGGCTCAGAGGTGACATCCATCCGACACTTTTTTTGTGTGCACTGGGCACAATGTACTGGACTCGATGTCATCAATTATTGCTATATGAGAGTCATTGTCCCAAAACATTAGGTTTTCAATGATTAGATGAAGACCAAGTCTCTGTCTTGTTTAGAAATATCAAAAACAAACTGCCATCTTTACACTGTTTTATTATGGTGCCAGACATGGTTTCCAGGCATTTTATAACTCCCGCTAACCTTTACACTGCAGTCACACCCTTGGTCTTTGTGGTCATAACGTATTCTGCCATTTAATGTAACTGCTAACAACATAACCGCTGACCTCGACATGTCTGCTGAAGAGGGTGCATGTCTCCCTTTAGACCCTGATTTGACCCCAAACAGCCTGCTCACTTCTTCACTTCATACTGCTACTCAAATTCAACTTTGTGCCATATTGATTATACATGCCGAAAGAATTCATAATTCACTGTAGAGAGAAAAAAATGCAGCGTGAATGTGGGCAAAGAAACATATACTCAGTATAGCTGAGTGTTTTTTTTAAGTTAGAGCATTGGGTGCCACTGGTCCTTTAATCAAATCAGTACTTCAAATATGAATTCTCATGAAATAATAATAAAAATTTACATGAGTCTTGAGCCACCACTCATTTCTTCATATTTTGCTGAGGTTGTCCTGATTTATGGACAGCATGAACTGAAATACAGTGTATAAGGCAAGCTTTATTTATTCTTGTTATTTCTTTAAATAGTTCTCCAGGCTCCCGCAAAGACATTCAAAGCTCTTCTCTGAATGTTCCTGCCTTTTATTCCGGTCTCCGTCAAGACGTTCCCAGTCTGCTTTAATATATTGTTCCAGTGTGCGTTTTTCTATCCAGGTATGCTTTTACTGCATAGGCACTGTGTTTGGGATCACTGTCATGCTGAAAAATGTAGCGATTGCTAATCCACGTGCTTTTCAGATGGTGGTTCAATTTTCCGTGCTCGTAATTCATCAATTCTGAGAAGATCTCCAACACCACTGCTTGAAATGCAGCCCCAAACATGACAACGCTCCTAAACCATCACAGTTATACCGTTTAGGTTCATCACGCCATCAGACCTGTTGCCACTGATTTGTGTGTAATTTCTATAACCTTAGCCTTTTCCCACTGTTTCCCTTCAAAAATGGCTTCCTGGCAGCCAACGTGTCCACTGAGACCATTTGTGATGAGACTAGTGAACAGTATATGGATGGAGGGCCAGATGGATCTCAGGTCCTGAAGAAATGCATCTCTTTCTAAGGACCTGACATTAGATACTGTTCAGCTGCTGCAGATATTTCATCCCTCGATTAAAGTGCAGTTTTTACACTTAATACTGACCTATGAGTCATTTAAGTGGCTTAAAAAAAACAACAAAAGCATTGCTCTAAAAATAATCAGAGGATTGAAATGAGTGAAAAAGCAGTCAATGTCCAAAGAAAAACTTTGAAAGACCTTCAGAAAGCCTGGAGAAAGTTTGCTTTAAAAGAATGAGAAGAAAATCTGGCTTCTTGGAAACAAAAACAAAGAACTGAGGAGTGGCTCAAGAGCGCTTAAAATTTAAGTTAAGACTGGGGAATCTGGGCAGTTACGAGATCTAAACTTGGATCCAAAGTGCATGTAGCAAATCCAGCCTCTCTTATCCAAGCAAGCCACAGCATGGATACATCACAGCCACAACAAGGTTGTTTTTTTTTAAATATTAATGCAAATATAAAGAACAAGTTTCGCTACAGCGTCCAAATAACACATTTTATAGCATCATTCCTGGTTCCTGGTTTAACTTCTTACACAAACAAACAAAAATACCTGCAGAAAAATAAACACTGTAAATATTAAATGAACAGAACCAAGATCCAGATGGTGCATTTGATAATTAATACCAAGACATCAGACAATACTCACATATTTTTGTTTTTCAGCTTCAAAGTACTAGTTGTACCATTAGTTAAGCCAAAAATAGATATTGGTTCCACATTTTGGTGCGTTTCTCATTTTGTTATGTAGCCGTTACACTTTTCTCTGATTCAAGCAGTGAGCTGTTTTGATTTTACTGCCAAAGACGTCAACAATAACTTAAACACGACAACACTGCTGAGGTACACAACACTCCAGCAAACACATTTAGCACAAACATGTGTGAAGGTCCAGTTTTGAATGTAATGAATTTGTACTTTTTGGTGCCTGTGGTGAAAAAAAATAATCACATTGCAATGAATTACTGTGAAATACTTTTTGTGATCTCTTGGTACCTTTGTGTAGCTTGCATGTGACTATTTTGTGTAGTAGCATGTGTGTTCTTTTGTGTTTGTGTTCGTAAATATTGTTTATTTAATGGGACACAAATGTGGACTTTTTTTAATAGAATGGAGATTGTAGGTTTTTACTGAAGGCGAGGAAGCGAACGGTGTCCTATTTTAAATTGTGAAGGGCTATTCATCAGATTATCTATTACCTCTGTGATTGTCAGCACAAAATTTAGGCAAGGTTTATAATCAAGTTTCTAATGAAATGTCTTAATGCCTCTAATTCATGCCAATAGTGGTAAAATAACAATTTCTTGACACGTTTGTTATATATTAGGGAGACCAGAAGTTTAATGACCAGATTTAAACAGATGTGCCTCTGAAAAAGCCTGATGACATTAAAACAGACAGACCTGCGACAAATCTTAGACACTTTATTGGGTACACCTGTTCAGCTTATTAACAGAGATTTCTAAGCATCCAGGTGTGCAGACATGTTCGGAGTGACCA